TCACTGTGTAATTTCTAGCTGTACCTGACCTTCCAAGATGCATCACCTCACATTTGTCCGGATTAAACTCCATCTGCCATTTTTCTGCCCATGCCTCCAACTGATCTCTATCCTGCTGTATCCTTTGACAATCCTTCTCACTATCCACAACTCCACCATCTTCGTATTGTTTGCAAATTTACTAATTAGACTAGCTATGTTTTCCTCCAAATCATTTATGTAGACCACAAACAGCACAGATCCCAGCATTGATCCCTGTGGAACACCACTAGTCACAATCCTCCATTCCAGAAAGCATCCTTCTAGCATTACCCTCTGTCTACTATGACTAAGCCAGTTCTGTATCTATATTGTCAGCTCACCCCTGATACCATATGACTTCACTTTTGCACCAGTCTGCCATAAAGGACCTTATCAAAGGCTTTATTGAAGTCCATGTAGACAGCATCAACCACTTTTCCCTCGTCACCTCCTCAAAAAACTTGATCAAGTTAATGAGGAATGACCTCGCCTGCACAAAACCATGCTGTCTATCCAATGACTAATAAGTCTATTTGCTTCTAAATGCATATAGGTCTTGTCCCTGAGAATCTTTTCCAATAATTTCCCTACCATCAACATGAGACTCACAGGTCTGTAAATTCCAGGATTATCCCTGCTATTCTTCTTGAACAATGACATAACAATGGCTATTCTCCAGTCCTCTAGGACCTTACCTGTGGCTAAAGAGAATACAAAGATATCTGTCAGTGCTCCAGAAATTTGTTCTCTTGCCTCCCTCAAAATTCTGGGATCGATCCCATCAGGACCTGGGGACTTATCTACCTTAAAACTTTTTAAGACGGACAAATACCTCTTCCTTTTTAATAGCAACTTAGCTTAGAAACTTGACACTCCCTTCCCTGAAATCATTCTCCATCAATTCCTTCTCTTTGGTGAGTATCGACACAAAGTATTCATTTAGGACCTCACCTACCTCTTCTGGCTCCACACATAGATTCCCTCCTTTGTCCTTCAGTGGGCCAACCCTTTCCCTGGCTACCCTCTTGCTTTTTATATATGTATAAAAAGCCTTAGGATTCTCCTTAATCCTATTTGCTATCAACTTTTCATGAATTCTTTGTTTAAGTTCTTTCCTACTTTCCTTATGTATTTTATGGGTTTCATCAGTTCGCATCCTCCTGTTATCCTTATGCATGAGTATCTTAAAACTCATGGTGTTATGGTCACTACTCCCGAAATACTCCCCCACTGAAACTTCACTCACCTGGTCGGGCTCATGTCCCAAAACTAGTTCCAGTATAACCCCTTCCCTGGTTGGACAGTTTACAGATTGTGTTAAGAATCCCTCCTGAAAGGTCCTCACAAATTCTGCCCCATCCAAGCTCCTAGCACGTAGTGAGTCCCAGTCAATATAGGGGAAGTTAAAATCATCCACCACAACAACTCTGCTGTTTTTACGTCTTTCCTAAATCTGTATACTTATTCTCTCCTCTACCTTCTGCTGGCTGTTGGGAAGCCTACCGCACACCCCTAGCATTGTGATTTCACCTTTCCTATTCCTGAATTCCACCCATATTGCCTCGCTGCACAAGTCCTTTGATATATCTTCCCTCTGTACAGCTGTGAGATACTCCTTTACCAGTAATGCAACTCTCGCAGCCCTTTTACCTCCTTTTCTATCACACCCGAAACATCTAAAACCTGGGACATTCAGCTGCCAGTCCTGTCCTCTTTTAGCCAAGTCTCTGTAATCGCAATAATGTCATAGTTTCAATTACTAACCAAAGCTCTGAGTTCAGTTAATGCTTTCCAAGTTTTCTGTTATCACATCTTTTATCAAGGTGGATGAGTGAACAACTCTAGCATTTCTATAAAAACTGAAAGAACTGCAGATGATGTAAATCAAGAATAAAAACAGAAGTTGCTAGAAAAGCTGAGCAGGTCTGGCAGCATCTGTGAAGAAAAATCAGACTTAACGTTTCGGGTCCAGTGACCCTTACTCAGAACCAGAGTATATAGAGTTTTGGAACTGTAAAATAACGGAAGATGCAATCTTTTCCAAGTTTAATTGAAAATACAAAACATGAATTAACATCTGGACTGTAACTTTTGGTAATGAATGTTGCTGACGGTTGCCTGAAGCTCCAGGACATTACAACCAGAATTATTATTTGTTAAAAAAGGGCAGAGCCTAGAGCACCACCTTCTCATCCACCTCCTTAAACCCACCCCCGTAATACAGAGAGTGGGTGGGTGCATTAGCTTTCCCAACTTGTATAAATAAAGAATTCAGGGTCAATTGAGCAAAGTCAGTCATGAGAACTGGGAGAACAGTGTGGCCATGTCTGGCGCTTTCGAGCTTAATCAGAGATGCCGGGAAACAAGAAGAATCTCACATGAGTTCAGCCAATTTTAAGCAATGAATGTAGCATCTTCCTGAAATCCACCTAGTGAATTTATATATATCCCCAAGCATTTCAATTGTGCTTAGACAACAAGGTGCAGAGCTGGATGAACACAGCAGGCTAAGCAGCATCATAGGAGCAGAAAGGCTGATGTTTCGGGCCTAGACCCTTCATCAGACCCTACCTCTCATCCTGGCTGATCCCCTGTACATCCAACATCGCAAGGACAACCAGGGACGTGCAATATATGCTGGCCAGCCAGTGACACCCATACCCCAAGAATGATTAAAAAAACAAACACCCCTACCTCAAAGATAATCCACAATTTCTTTCTGTGCTGCAACCTTGTTCCTAAAGCCCTCAAATGAAAATAAAGTTCTACAGATTCTGGAAATCTGAAATAAAAATAGAAAATGTGGGAGTAACTCAGCAGGTCTGGCAGCATCTGTGGATGGAAAAGCAGTGTTAAGGTTTCGAGTCAAAAAACTCCTTAGACTTGAAATGTTAGCTTTGTTTCTCTCCCCACAGGTAGTGCCAGAACTGCTGAGTTTCTCCAGCATTTTCTCTTTTTATCTTAAAGATTTATCTCTGTTTTATCCACCCTCACCTCCAAGAAAAATTGTGAGAAACTCCTGGACTTCTTAGTCAGTAAAATTGAGACCATCCATCAGTCACCTCTGCTGTTCTCCCACTCAGCTCCCGTGCCAAACCTCTCAGGCTTCCTGCCTGCACTAGACATGAATTCGGAGCTTTCTCTGGCTTCTTTTCTACATTTCCCCATAGAAACCAATAGTAGGAGTAGGCCATTTGGCCCTTCAAGCCTGCTCCGACATTCAGTACGATCATGGCTGATCCTCTATCTCCATGCCATATTCGTACTTTTTCTCCATAACACTGATGTCTTTAATATCTAAATAAAAATCAATCTCTTTCTTGAATATTTTCAGTGACTTGGTTTACAGAGATTTCTGTGGTAGCAAATTCCACAGGTTCACTATTACTCCCTGAGTGAAGAACTATTTCCTTATCTCAGTCCAAAATGGCCTACCTTACCTTGTGTCCTGAGACTGTGTCCCTGGTTCAAGATTCCCCAACTAGGCAAAATAACCTCCCTGCATCTAGTCTGACCAGCATGCCCTCTTCAAGCTCATTATATACATAACCTACTTCTTGCTTTCTTCATCTGTACAAAATGATCAGAGGTATAGAAGGTGTACAAAATGATCAGAGGTATAGATAGAGTGGATAGCCAGAGACTTTTTCCTAGGGTGGAGGTAGCTATTACGAGGGGCATAGTTTTAAAGTGAGTGGAGGTAGATGTAGGGGAGACGACAGAGGTAGCTTCTTTACTCAGAGGGTGGTAGGGGTGTGGAATGCATTGCCGGAGGGGGTAGTGGAGTCGGCCTCATTAGGGGCATTTAAGCGGCTATTAGATAGGCATATGGCTGATAGTATAAGGTAGGCGTGGAGGTTAGATAGACCTTAGGTTTAGGGTAAAAGTTCGGCAAAGCATCGTGGACCGAAGGGCCTGTACTGTGCTGTACTGTTCTATGTTCTATTAATTTGATTCCTCAAACTGTTCCACTCACCCTCTCCCTCTGGTCTCCAAAATGTTATCCAATATTTCTCATTAGCTCAGGTGACAGGCCAATTTGTTGACTTTTTTTCTCTTTCCATGATATTACCAGTCCTGCTTGAGTATTTCCAGCATTTTCTGTTTTTATTTCAGATTTTCACCATCTACAATATTCTGCTTCTCCATTCATGTTTAATTCATTTCATTTAGCTTTTGATGTGGTAACAGAGTGTTGCTGAGGGCAATTCTTGTGGATGTGTTGTACAATGGACTTCCACATGAAGTTTGAAAAAGTGCCACAGCTGGGCTTGTCAGTAACCCTCAAGTTGTGAAATAAAGCAGACAGTAACAGCATGGATATGAAGTTGTTCAAGGGACAGGAACCTGTTGTGATGAATGATTGCTTTTATTTCTGCAGAGGGTACATAGTGGGGTTTCTCCTGGGCTTGCTAATAGGATGTTTCTTTTCTTGGTCTAGACTTAAACTAGACTTGTCTGTGTGGTGTGCAACATTTGTGGATGACACAAAACTTGTGAGTATTGTAAATTTTGAGGTGGACAGCGATGGACTTTAACAAGGATATGACAAGGCTGATGGAATGGATGGATGAGTATCAGGTTATATTTGCTGCAGGGAAGTGTGAAGTGATTCATTTGGCTGCAGAGGGATTACAGATTAAAGGAGACAATTCTAAAAGAGATTCAAGACCGGAAGGTATCTGTGCACAACTGATTAAAGGTGGCAGTAATACAAAAGCAATATACTGCAGATGCTGAGAATCTGAAATGATAACAACATATGCTGGAAAATTTCAGCAGGTCTGGCAGCATCTGTGGAGAGAAACAGAAGTATTGTCACAGGCCAATGAGCTTTCATCAGAACCGATCAGAACAGGTTGAGAAAGTTGTTAAAAGGGCTTTGGAAATACAAATGTAGAGAAGAAAAAATCAAGGAGGTTTTGATGAGCTTGTGAAATCAGATTTTTCATTCATTGTTTCCCTCTTCCTCTTGGCAGTGAAACCTGATCCTCCGATTGCGCTGAACTGGACCCTGCTTAATGTCAGTCAGTCAGGGCTGCTCGCTGACATCCAAGTTTTGTGGGAGGCGCCGCCTACTGCTGATATCAGGAATGGATGGATATCTCTCAAGTATGAGATACAATATAAAGCCAGCGAGAGTAACCACTGGGACTCGGTATGTTCAAATGTCTTCAGCAGTTATGCTTTTTTTTTCAGCTCAGTGAAATTTCACAGATAAGCGCCCTACCTCCTGGGGAACACTACTACCTACAAGTTCCCCTCCAAGCTACTCACCATCCTGACTTGGAAATATATTGTCATTCCTTCACTGTCATGGGCCTAAATCTTGGAATTCTCTCCCTAATGGCATTTTGGGTCTACTTATAGCACATGGACTGCAGCAGTTCAAGAAGTCAGCTCACCACCACCAACATCTCAAGGTCAACTAGGGATGGGCAATAAATTCCAGTCCAGCCAGTGATGCCCACAGCCCATGGATGAATTTGAAGAATAAATCATTCTGTGTAAATGCTGAGTCAGCTATGAGATTAAGGTACAATAAGAAACTGAAACAAGCACAAACAATGCTGGAGAAGCTGGTAGGACAGAAGAAGAGACATACCAATCTTGAAACCTTAATTGTTTCCCTCTCCACATATGCTGCCAGACCTATTGAGTTTCTCCAGCATTCTGTGTTTGTTCGAGATTTCCAGCATCCCACAGTATTTTGCCAATAAAAAAACTGTACTTCAAGCAGCATAAAATACACTTAAGGCGAAAACTTTGTTGCATTTTTGCTATAGGGAGTGCTGCTGGCCCAAACCAAAGAAAACTTCAGAGATGAACAAATACAGATCTTTAAAATTGTCTCTGTTTGTTGAAGAGAGACCAAACTTCAACTAACCCAAATTGACAGCTGTCCTCATTAGAGGCTTCTTTGGTAATAATCTCCTTCCAGAGTCAAAGGACCATGACTGTAACAAGCATTTACCTGCCTATCAGAGCAGGTCCCTCTCACCCTCTGCCCTGTAAGGTGCCTCTTGACCTTTATTATTTAATGTTTGATTACCCTTAACTAAACTTGTTTCCCTTCATGTGACAGATTGAGGCCTTTTCAACCTCCCATCCAGTTTATGCACTCAGTACTGGCAAGGGTTATGAGATCAGACTCCGATGTAAACAGATCGCCAATGGGGATTTTAGTGAGTTCAGTGATTTGGTGTACGTCTTCATTCCTGCACCACAATTGGCAGAAGGTGAGAGGAACAGCTGTTTATATTCTCTGACAGGCATGCTGAACTATTCATAATTAATATGTTTGTAATTATTACTAAACCTATAAACAAATTATCATATAACAACTTTCATAAGTTGATTGGAGCAGACTGTTCAATAGTAAAAGTACATCTGACAAGTGGGAGGCATACATGAGTGTGATTACGAGAGTTCAGAGGCATGTTGTTCCTGTTACAGTGAAGGGTAAGGCTGGTGAGATTTTGGAACAATGGGTGAATAAAGATTTTGAAGTTATAGTCAAGAATAAAAGGGAATTTTTTTAAAGATATAGACAACTTGGTTCAACTGAATCTCTTAATCAATAGAAAGAGTGTAGGGGCATTCTTAAGAGAGAAAATCAGGAAGGCAAAGAGCGGATATAAGATAGCATTGGCAGATAAGGTTAAGGATAATCCAAAGAGATTCTACAAATACATTAAGAGCAAGAAGGTAACTAGAGAGAGGTTGGGCCTCTTAAAGATCAAGGAGGTCATCTTTGTGTTGAGGCGCAGGAGATGGGAGAGATACTAAATGAAAAAATCATGTTTGTTTTTACTGTGGAGAAAGAAATGGAATCTAGAGAATGAAGAGAAATAAACATTGATGTTTTAAAAACAGTTCACATTACAGAACAGAAAGTTCAGGGGATCTTAGAGAATATAAAGGTGGATAAACCTCAGCGACCTGATCTAATGTATCCCAGAATGTTGTGGGAAGTAAGGGAGGAAATTACGAGACCCTTTGCAGAAATATTTGCATCATCTATAACTACAGGTGAGGTGCCTGGTGACTAGAGGGTAGCTAATGTTGTACCTTTGTTTAAGAAAAGTTGTAAGGATAAACCAGGGAACCATAGGCCTATGAGTCTGACTTCAGTTGTGGGTAAATTGTTGAAGATGATTATAAAAGATGGGATTTATGGACATTTAGAGAGGCAAAAATTGATTAGGGATAGTCAGCATGGTTTTGAGCGAAGACAGCCATGTCTGACTAAATTGATTGAATTTTTTGAGGAAGTTACCAAAAAGGTTGATGATGGCAGAGCAGTAGATGTTGTTTATTCAGATTTTAGTAAAGCCTTTGACAAGGCTGTGCATGGTAGTCTAATTAGTAAAGTTAGGTCACATAGGATTCAGGGTGAGCTTGCCAAGTCGATACATAATTGGCTTAACAGAAGGAGAAGGAGTGTAATGGTGGAGGGTTGATTTTTGGACTGGAGCCTGTACCAACTGTGTTCCACAGGGATCGGTTCTGGGTCCTCTTTTGTTTGTCATTTATATAAATGATTTGGATGAGAATATAGAAGGCATGGTTAGTAAGTTTACAGATGACACCAAAATTGGTGGTATTGTAGACAGTGAGGAAGGTTTTCTAAGACTGCAAAGGGATCTTGATCAAATGGGACAATGGGCTGAAAAATGGTACATGGAGTTCAATGTGGATAAATGCGAGGTATTGCATTTTGGTACAACAAACAAAGGTAGGGCTTATACAAATAATGAAAGGGCCTTGGGTAGTGCTGTAGAACAGAGAGACCCAGGGGTGCAGGTACATAATTCTTTAAAGTTTGTGTCATATATAGACAGGATGGTTAAAAAAGCATTTGGCATGCTTGCCTTCATTGCTTAGTCCTTTGAGTATAGGAGTTGGAATGTTATGTTGAGGTTGTACAAGACATTGGTGAGGACTCTTCTAGAATACTACGTCCAGTTCTGGTCACTCAGTTATACAAAGGATTTTATCAAGGGGGTTCAGAAGAGATTTACCAGGATGTTGCCAAGTATGGAAGGTTTGAGTTATAAGGAAAGGCTGGGACTTTTTTCACTGGAGCGTAGGAAGTTGAGAGGTGACCTGATAGAAGTTTATAAAATAACGAGATATATAGATAGAGTTGATGGTAATTGTCTTTTCCCTAAGATGGGGAATTTCAAGACTGGGGGCACATTTTTAAGGTGAGAGGAGAGATTTAAAAAGACATGAGGCAAATTTTTTACACAGAGGGTGGTTCGCATGGGGAATGAACTTCCTGATGAAGTGGTGGATGCGGGTACAACTACAATGCTTAAAAGACACTTGGAGGGATTTATGAATAGGAAAGGTTTGGAGGGATATGGGCCAGGAGCAGGCAGGTGGGACTAGTTTAGTTTGGGATTATGTTCAGCATGGACTTTGGACCGAAGGGTCAGTTTCCGTGCTGTGTGACTCTATGAATGTATAGTGTCCAAGTATCAGATCATCGAAGCTGAGCCAAGTTGAGTGGTGTTTATTTCAAAGAAAGTGTAATATAAAAATAGGGAGGTTATTAAAACTATACAAGTCAGACCACAGCTAGAATGCCCTGAAGATTTTTGGGAACCTTTTCTAAGAAAAGATATACTGGCATTTGACGCAGTCCAGGGAAGATTCACAAGATTGATTCCAGGTATGGAGGGATTTTCTTACGAAGAGAGATTGAGGAGGTTGGGCCTTTACTCATTGGAGTTTAGAAGAGTGAGGCAATCTTATTGAAACATACAAGATTCTTAGGAGATTTGACAGTGTAGATGTGGAAAGGTAGTTTCCCCATGTGAGAAAGTGTAGGACTAAACAGCATCATGTCAGAATTAGGGGTCACACATTTAAGATAGAGATGAGGAGGAATTTATTCTCTCAGAGGGTAATGAATCTGTGGAATTCTTTATCACAGAGGATTGTAAAAGTTGGGCTGTTAAGTATAATCAAGGCTGAGATAAGCATACAGGTGCAAGCAGGCGGTAAAGAAGGCAAAGAAGGCCAAGATAGGCAATATTTTAACAGAAAATGAATCAAGGACTGTGGGTAAAAGCCGGGAAAGTGGAGTTGACGACTATCAGGTCAGCCATGATCTCACTGAATGGTGGATCAGATGCAATGGACTGAATGGCATACTTCTGTTCCCATGTCTTATGTCCCCACAAAAGTTGGATTTTGGTTCATCAGTCAGTAACAATTGTTAACTGCGAAATTATTTATTTTCCTTCATCAAAAATTTGAGCGTTCAATTCAAAACTCTTACTTCTAAAATGTTGTCAAGTGTTGAGCCTCCTTTCCATTTTAAAACAAATTCAACAGTGAACTACTGTAATGTTTATAGATACATAGAAGACAGGAGCAGGAGGGGGCCATTCGGGCCTGCTCCATCATTCATCACAATCATGGCTGATTGTCCAACTCAATAGCCTCATCCTGCTTTCTCCCCATAACCTTTGGTCCCATTCGCACAAATGCTATATCTACTCGCCTCTTGAATACATTCAATGTTTTAGCATCAACTACTTCCTGTGGTAATGAATTCCACAGGCTCACCACTCTTTGGGTGAAGAAATGTCTCCTCATCTCTGTACTAAATAGTCGACCCTGAATCCTCAGACTGTGACCCCTGGTTCTGGACACACCCACTATAGGGAATATCCTCCTGCATCTACCCTGTCTAGTCCTGTTAAAATTTTATAAGTATCTATGAGATCCCCCCTCGTTCGTCTGAACTCCAGCGAAAACAATTCTAACCTAGTCAATCTCTCCTCATACTTCAGTTCCTCCATCCCCAGAATCAGCCTGGTAAACCTTCGCTACACTCCTTCGAGAGCAAGAGCATCCTTCCTCAGAATAGGGGACGAAAACTGCACACAATATTTTAAGTGCAGCCTCACCACTGCCCTGTATAACTGCAACAACACATCCCTGCTCCTGTAATCAAAACCCCTCGCAATGAAGGCCACCATATCATTTGCCTTCTTTACCGCCTGTTGCACCTGTATGCTTACCTTCAGCAACTGGTTTGAGGTCAGTTTTGTTTTTTAAAGCAAACCCATTGAAGGTCTATCTTTATGTATGGTACAACATAAAGAGAGGAACTGACTGACAAGAGGAACACAGTGGGTTGTCTGATTTTGCAAAGGGTCTGGAGGCATATGATGGAGTAGATTGAACTGGACCTGAGCTGAATTTGCCAATGGAAAGAGGTCAACAGCAGCTTGGGTCCAGTTGCCCTGTTGTGGGTCTGCTCAGTCTACCAGATTGTGTTTGGTGTAAGATTCAACCGAACTCTCATTCTTCAGACTGTGTCCACTCAAAATTATTCAACCTCCTTCTTGGTTGAAATGGCCTCTGGTCCTCTAATCCTCATAACAATCACCCACTCCTAAATTTCAGTACTCTTCTCATAGCGCCCAGACCTAACAACCTAGGGCCATCCTAAGAAGCACTGGCTGTTGACACAACATAATGTTATTGAAGGAGGCCATTCAAGCCATTGAGTAGAAACTTGTCCTGTTACCGTAGGAAGCAAGGTAGGCTGGGGAGCTTTGTTGTACAAGAGGTCAAAGATTAATAGACTGAGGTGATGGCTTAATAGTATCATCGCTGAATTGTTAACCAGGAAACCCAGGTAATGTTGCTGGAACCTGTGTACAAATCCTGCCGTGGTAGATGGTGGAATTTAAATTCAATTTAAAAAGTCTGGAATTAAGTCTAATAATGAACATGAAACCATTACTGATTGTTGAAAAACCTCCTGGTTCTCTAATGTAGGAAGAAACTGCCATCCTTATGTGGTCTAGCCTACATGGTACTCCAGACCCACAGCGATATAGGTGATTCTTAATTACCCTTTGGGGAGGCAAGAGTGAATGTTTGCAATTAAGTTCTTTGACCTTTAAATGTTGGGTTTAAGATTCCTGACAGGAGGTATTAGGAGGCCCTTTTGTATGTATTTGCATCTAATGCCTGCTCATTAAAAAGCCAGCTCACCAGAACTAAGCTCTGCTTCTCAATTGAGTTCTCCATGAGTACATGCATTTTAATTCCTAATTATGCATGAGATATGCAACAAGTGAGTATGCTGCTTTGACGTCTTTGAGTAGAATGTGATATGCCAGGCCATGATTGAGATCAAGAGCAGTTAAATTTAATTGCAAGGGGCACAAAGGATGACCAAGGGTGGGAAGATAGAATGTAAGAGGCATGGATTGAGAAGATTGGCCAAGTTGGAAGTCTGCCTGTGGCCCCGAGGAAAGGTGGCAATGCCAGAATGTTTCACTGTAAATGCTCACTTCAGATGTTCAAGTGATTCACTTCGTTTACAGGGAGATGGTTTCTGTCTGGGCACCCTTTAAATAATGCCCGAGGACCTTCAACCCTTGAAAGTGATGACAGGTGTGTCAGCTTCCTGCCCGCCTCAATGATAAGCTTTGCATGGTCCTCTTGCATGCAGATGTAATGAGCTGAGAACTGTGTAACTGTCAGATATAAACCAATCCCATCCAAAGTAAAGTTACACCCACTGTCTTGCCAGACTCCAAACTTAGACTGAATGCTGGAAAGTTCTGCCTAGTGTCTATGCCTGCTCTTTGCAAGACCTATCTGTTTAACCCCATCCCCCTGCTCTTTCTCCTTCAATAATTATCAAATTGCCCTCTGATAGATATTATTGAGTTTGCTGCACTTTTAGGTCTACCTTTAGCCTACAGTGACGCTGATAAATGACTGTTTCTACCTAGCATAAATTCCAGTTCTCATAAAACATCACGAACATCACCACAGGAGATTGATAATTTGGTAAAAAGAAGATGCTGCTTGAAAAATGTCCCTAGGTTTTGTGTATGGTTATTTTCATATCGAGTAATAGCAATCTAGAGGGTATGGAAAGGCCCTTTGGCCCATCACACCTGCAGTCAAAATCAACCACCTAACTATTCTAAACCCATTCTTCCACACTTGGCCCATAGCCTCATATAACTTGGCATCACAAGCACACATCTAAATACTTCTTAAATGTTATGAGGGGTTCTGCCTCTATCATCCTTACAGGCAGTGAGTTTCAGATTCCTACCACTCTCTGGGTGAAGAAAGGGTTTTCGTCACATCTCCTTTCACTTTCTGCCCCTTACCTTAAATCTATACCCTCCAGTCATTGATCCCTCCATCAATGTGAAAAGTTTCTTCCTGTGTACCATCTATCCCCTTATAATTTTATACATCTCAATCATGTTCCCTCTCAAGCTCCTCTCCTCAAAGGAAAACAATCCCAGTGTGTCCAATCTCTCTTCATAACTAGAGCTGTCCAGCCCAGGCAACATCCTGATAAATATCCTCTATACCCTCTCCAGTACAATCACATCCAACCTAGAATGTGGATTCAAGAATTGGGGCCATTCATCAAATAAAACAATGAATGTGGTGACATGGCTACTTTTGAAGCAAGGCTTCACAGAGATTTGAACTCAGTATCTACTATTCACAAAGCAGATGCTTTAACCCACTGAGCCACATCACCACCACTTAAGTCAGCCCCTTGTCTCCAGTTGAGAATAAAATAGGGAGATGGAACAGAGGAAATAAAACCATGATCTCCTGTACTGAGGACAGATGGAGCCCCCATCACCTCCCCAGTATTGAAATTTCTATTTAAGAGAATTCTGCGTCTTCGGGTGGGATGCCTCGAATTCAAATTCCACCATTTGATATCGCAGCATTCAAACCTAGGTCCCCAGAACATTAACTGAATTTCTAGATTAATATTCTAGAATTATACCACTAGGCTATCACCTCTCTCACATATAGATAAATCACCACATAACTTTCTAATGTTGGATTTTTGTCTATTTTGTCTTACAGAGGCAGGAATCTTGTTCAGGCTGATCCTGGTCTTTGTTTTCCTGGGCACGGCCTTGATGATGCTATTAATCCTATTTACTAAGAGCCAGCGGTAGGTCTGACGTAAGCATGACAGATGATACACAATTATCAGAAATTCTGTTCAATCTCTTCACATAAACAATCTGTGAGGAACGAAAGGGCTTTTTGACTCATCATGTGTGCTGACTGTCTGAAGGATACTTATTCTCTGCACTTCTCCATGTGCCTTGCTGACTGAAGCAGCTCTTCGTAGCCAGTTCTTGTGACCTTTTCCTGTAGGCTTTTAAATTGTAACTTATAAATATCTATCCAGTTTTAGTTGAAGAGTGACCTCGGTTCCTTGTAGGACATTGCAACCTATGAATTCAAGTATCAGTGGCTCAATCCTGGATGACTCATCAGCCTCTACCCAACACTGGGCTTTGGAACATACAGTAAGATTTCAATATTCATCTGCAACATCAAACTTATACGTATAGTAGACAGTGAAGATGATAACAATCAACTGCAATAGGACTTGGATAGGCTAGCAGAATGGGCAGATGGAAATTGAAGTGCAAGCTGAGAAGGGGCAAGGAGAAATAAAAGAGACTTAATTTGATTGGTTTGATTTATTGTTGTCACACATACTGAGACACAGTGAAAAGTATTGTTTTGTGTGCTATCCAGACAAATCATATCTTACATAAGTACGTCAGGGTAATAGAACAGAGTATAGAGTATAGTGTTACAGAGAAGGTGCAGAGAAAAATAAACTCGAATATACAAGATATCTGCTCATAAATCTGATAACAGCAGGGAAAAAGCTGTTCCTGGGTCTGTTGATACGTATTTTCAAATTTGTGCATCTTCTGCTTGATGGAAGAGGGTGGAAGAGAATATAACTGGGGTGAGAGGGGTCCGTAATTATGTTGGCTGGTTTCTCGAGGCAGCAGGAAGTATAGACTGAGACAATGAAAGGAAGGCTGGTTTTCGTGATAGACTGGGCTATGTTCACAATTCTTTTTAATTTCTTTTGGTCTTGGGCATAGCAGTTGCCATACCAAGTGGTGATGCATCCAGATAGAATACTTTCTATGTTGCATCTATAAGAATTGGTAAGCGTCATGCCATAATTACAAAGAATACACATAAACAGAGGGACGTAGGGTTAACATAGTGGGGCAGATAGTAATGTCATGGATTAGATGCCCAAGCTAATACATGACTTAGAAGGTTCAGCATGGTATACTGGTTAGTAAAGTGAGATCACATGGGATTCAAGGAGAGTTTACCGATTGTGTACAAAATTGGCTTGACGGTAGAAGACAGATGGTGGCAGTGGAGGGTTGTTTTTCAGACTGTACGCCTGTTGACCAGCAGGGATAAGTGCTGGGTCCACTGTTTGTCATTTATGTAAACTATTTGGATGAGAATTTAGGGGACATAGTTAGTAAGTTAGCGAATGACACCAGAATTGGTGCTACTGTGGACAGTGAAGAAGGGATTACTAAGATTACAAAGGGATCTTGATCAGCTGGGCCACAGGGCCAAGAAAGAGTCTAATTTGGATGAATGCGAGGCATTGCTTTTGGTACGACGAACAAGGGCAAGATTTATACAATTAATGGTAGAGACCTGGGTACTGTTGTACAAATCAGAGACCTATGGGTTCAGGTATTTAGTTCTTTGAAAGTTGCAGGTACACAGGATGGTCAAGAAAGCATTTAGCATGCTTGCCTTCATTGCTCATTAAAGAGGTTTGTCGAATCATGAGGGGCACAGATAGCAAAGGTTCTTCCCTAGGGTAGAGGAGTTCAAAACTAGACGGCATATTTTTAATGTGCGAGGAGAAAGATTTAAAAGGGACCTCGGGGCAACTTTTTCACACAGGGGGTGGTTTGTATGTGGAATGAACTGCCAGTGGAAGTGGTAGATGCAGCTACAGTTACAACATTTAAAAGACATTTCAACCGGTACATGAACAGGAAAGGGTTAGAGGATTATGGGCCAAATGCGGGCAAGTGTGACTAGTTTAGTTTGGGAAGCTTGGACACATTGCACTGAAGCATCTGTTTCCGTGCTGTAATACCCCATGACTCTATATTCTAACATCCAAAAATCAACACCTAACAGAGAGTATAAAACTGTACATGCAGTCAAGACAGATGCAATAGAATTCACAGTAATCCCCATACCAGACGTTAGTGACATGATGGGTCAGCAAGTTCAAGAAAACTTTACAATGGATTGCAATTCTTCATTTTTGATAAACTGCCAAAATCTGCTCCAACTTGGACTGTCTCAAATGACTATGTACATACATTTTTATCAATCACTTTCTTTTCCTGGGACTACACTGCCCTGGATTCGCAAAAATACTTTCACAGAACAATTAGAAATTTTCACTGATGGTTTCACCAATCATACTGCCCCTGGGTTTTTCTCTGAGCTCTCCTCTTGCTCAGTTGCATCAAGAAGCTCCTTGGACTCCTTCCTAAGTCTTAAAGGTACAGAAAAATTCAATATGCCCTTCCCTTAACAAATCTATGATTTTTCTTGATTCATCCACATCTCCTTAAATAGTAGTTTATACTGCTTCAGAATTTTCTCCCAATAAATTGCCCACCATCAAATTTAGGCTGACTTACTGGCAAGTGATTATTCAGGATAGCCCTTCCTTCATTTTTAGACAAAATTCACAGTCCTCTGAAATTTATCTCTGTAGACATATAGGTTGTTGTGAATGGTACTGTAATTATTATTAGCAGCTGAACCTCCTTTCACCTAAGGAATATGAGGATAGTGTATGAAGATGGTGTTGACGTAGAATATGAGCCACAATCTTGTTGAATGGCAGAACAAGTTGGAAAAATGAACAGCCTTGCTTTTACTACTCTTGTTTATGATGTTGTAATGTCCTTACATGATCAGCAATAGTAACCTGTTCTGATTTTACTAAACTAAGGTAACAGCGTAATTTACCTAACAGCACAAATCGGAAGTCAATTGGCATCATCCTCATTTACTTGTCTTAGTGCTAACATGTATTGCCTTTGTTCACGTGTTGTTGGGAGACCTCCATTTCAGTATTTAAAGACAACTGATACTTCAGTCGTACCTGAGCTGCAGCCTAGCATTCCATTTAAAACATATTTTCCTTGTATCCCTGTTACTCTTTAATCCCCCAGCTAGGTATTGGAGTCTCTCTGTTACAGTATGTTTCCCCTTTAACAGTGAGCTCCCCGTTAAGGTTTAGCATCTTGATGTTCTACTGGCCAGCTTTGCACAATCTGACATCATGTCAATCGCCCTACAATGATTTCTCAATTTCAGTTCTGACAAGGGAACATCAAGCAAATCCTGCACTGGCAGAGGTTGTAGGCATGTCACATAGGCATTGGTAATATGGTGAAGGATTTTGTTGTATGTGCTGTATACTGCAGTGATTTTAATTCAAGGAAGGGACAAATTTACCCATAATATATCTTGAATGTATGATAAATGAACATCTTAAAATACTTTTCAGATTGAAGCTGTTTTTCCTGCCTCCTGTTCCTGTACCCAAAATCAATGGAATTGATCCTGATCTTCTTAAGGTAATCTGAGTCTTTATAAACAAAATAATTTCTCAGTAAAAGCAAAAAGAAAGAAACATAAATAGTTATGATAATATTCTGTTGACAAAATTGAAACAGTCCATAACAGTTAGAAGAACAATGGGAAAAAAAATGATGCATGTCAATTGATAGGCTAAAGTGTGCCAACACAGGATTACATGTCTAGGAATGTGTTATACATAAAAAAAATACTGCACTGGCAGTATGTCACATACAGGTGAAGCATGTGGAAATATGTTACACAGAAAGTGACGCTTGCTGTGAGTATGTTACACCTAAGGAGACACACACGGGAAATGTGTTACACACAATGACATGCATGGGGGGATGTGTCACTTGAAGGAAATGCGCGATGCTAGGAGGGTGCTACATACAAAGTAATGCACGGGATGTGTGTACACTGCGAGGGATAAGGTGGCTCTGATTTTAATGCCATTTGCAGGAGGGCAGGGCATTCAGAATTAAATTTAGTTTTATTCACTTTCACTGTGGGGCAAGAGGAACCCTGATGAGAACCTCCATCACCAGAGTTCACCTAGTTTGATTTGATTACCTCAATGCAAACTGCACTGCCCAACATTAACTGTGAGCAAGGCTGAAAGAGGAAAAGATTGTAAATATTTAAACATAGTTTACAACTTAATATAAAACAGAGTACAAATCAGCACCCAAAAGAGGTTAATCAGTATTTCAGGTGGACAGCATTTGTTGCAAAGTTTTAATTTTTTTTAACTTTTAATTTTTTTTTACAGAAGGGTAAAATAGATGAAGTGAACTCAATTTTCGCAAATCACCTGGGCTACAAGCCTGATCTGTATATTGATGACCCCTGGGTAGAGTTCATTGATATTGACCTTGATGATCCAGATGGAAAGACGGAATTGTTGGACACAGACAGACTTCTTAGCCATGAACACCCGAAGTCTGACAACTGCCTCAGTCTCAAGGATGATGACTCTGGCCGTGACAGTTGTTATGAACCAGATGTTGCTGAAGATGTCACTGTAGCTAAACAAAGTGTCAATGAATTTGGCAGGCTCCAGCTGGAAGCCAGTGAAAGAAAAGAACACATCAAGAGCAATACTGGAGCTCCTGTAGGTATTTCAGGTACAGATGTCAAACAGAGCCAGCAGCCAGATGGTGAAGAGTGCAAGTGCAGAAAAATACAACTGGTTACCAGAGACAGTGGTTTGTCAACAGCAACTAGAAGTGAACCACCTCTTCACAGTCAACTCAGTAACCAGAGCTCCTTTGGGAAAATGGACTTTTACGCACAGGTAAGTGACATCACCCCTGCAGGTGGTGTCCTCCTCTCCCCAGGGCAGCAGAACAAGCTGAAGGTATCTCTGGCCAAAGAAACCTCACTGGATCCAAAGGCAAATCAGAATACCAAACCATTAGACAGTGCCTACACATCTGAGGTTGATGCAAAGCAGTTATGTGCCATCAGCTTGGACAACGAAAACTTACCAGCTGCAGCTGAAGACCTTAATCTAAGCAATTATTTCACTGCGGAAAGCCTTGCAAGTGCCACGGTTGGTTCTTATAAACAAACAGAAATCGCTAGGCAGCCAACAATACCTGTCCCGGACTATACCTCAGTACATATGGTGGACTCCCAACAGAGCCTACTGTTGAATCCAAATGTGCTGCCGAGCAAGAATCAACCCACCCTAGCTGGATACCTGATGCCTGAACAACTTGGTAATGTCATCCCCTGACTTCAAAAGCCATGAAGTGTAGACTGCATCATTGTAAGCGTCTGTCACAAAGACCTTGTGTTCAATGATTTGCGTAATATTCCCCAAAATACAGAATAAGGTACAACTGTTATGAAAAATTATGATTGATAAATTAAGAGTACAAATTATTTTTAAATGTCAACTATATTTGTTAATGTGAGATAAAATCCTGTATTTTTATAAAACAGAAACAATTTCTAAAGTTAAACCAGTGCCATGTAAAAGGAGCTGGATATGATTGGAAGAGTGTTATCTGTCACAAAGATCAAAACACTGTTCCTCAGCAAACCTGAATTCCTTGGAAAAGTCTGTACTCTCATTAACTGGTTATTTAATTTCCAGAATCAACAACTGTGTTGCTTCCTCAAAACTGTATCCAAAAAGAATTGGGAATGGTCCAATATTAGGAATGCTTGTAATGTGTCACCACTTGTATCAAAGAGGGGGTGGTGGTCTTTAAAGAGTTGCAATACTTGGCTTATCTCACTTGGAAAGGATTTCAAAAAGAAGCCACACTTTAAAGAGTGGCTTTCAGCAACAAAAGAAATCTCAGTGTTGTGAAATCGTTTCATGAGTGTAATAATTTTGATCTCCTTGAGGGGTAACTGAGCACTTAACTGAAATTCTCTGTACAAAACTCCCCTTCACTGACTATTATATAGTAACAAACCACAACGTCTGGACAGGCAAGTAGAGAGTCACAAACTAGAATAAGCTGTAGTTTTGCATCCCCTCAGTGTTCTATCATTATATCATTGCAATGTAGGATTTTTAATGGAAATGAACTAAAAAATGCAAAGCAGACTCATTTGCCAACATAGAATATCATCTCCACAATTTATTAAAACTTTCACTCAATAGAAATCATCTCTTTACGCGATGGCGCATCAACCACTGATGCTGTATGCTGATAAATCCTGCCAGTCAGGGGATTCCTGAAAAACAGGTAACTCTATTACAAGTTTAGAGACTGGGGATTCATTGTTTACAAACAGTAGAGTTGGACTCAGTGCAGTGGCTCTTGGGACAGCTGGAAGTTGATTCCATTGTTCTTTACAATGGGGCTGCTTTGGTTTCAGGGGTGATCACTGGAGCTGTCTAGACAGGACAGTGGACTCAGGGGTTTTTGTGTTGGCAAGAAACCTGATTTCTCAACTGAATTGAGAAGACAAATCTCAGAACATTCATCTTTGTAAATTGAAAATTATTCTGAAACAACAATACTTTCATAGGCTTTTTTTCCATTTGTGTTTTATTTTTGAGAGGGAGACAGTATCTTTACAGATTAAGTCCGTATGTTATATTTTGAACCGTGGCCCACACATTGATAACATTCACAAAAAAATTTTAAAAATCTAAGTTCAGAGGCAGGTCCAGTGCTATTAATTAATGATAACCAAAGTTTTTGTGGGACAGAGAAGGCAATAGCGATAGAACTCAGCAGGCCTGGCAGTGTCTGAGGACAAACAGAGTTATTGTTTCGAATCTAGTGAACACTGATGAAGAGTCACTAGACTTCAAACGTTAACTCTGTTTCTCTCCACAGATGCTGCCAGACCTGCTGAGTTTCTCCAAAAATTTCTGTTTTGCTTTCAGGTCTATATCATCCGCAGTTTTTTATTTTATTTTAGTAAATAAACAATAAGAGTTTGGTTTGAAATTACCCTGTTCTGGATGTTTTTAATAACAAAATGATTGTAACAAGTGCACGTTTACAAGTAGATTATATCAATGAAAATTTGATGGTGAGGATTTTATTCTGTGCTGTGTAAACTGAGTGGATTTTATTCTCTACCACATATCCCAAAGGAGGAGCATAGATGAAAAAGCTTGTGTAACCACCACCTCATTTTTTTTGTTTAGATTCCTAACGTAGACTCTCACACACTTGCTCTTTGTCTTTAATATAGGCTTCATGAGATTTAAAAAGAAAAAAAAAGTCAAAAAACATTCTCGACATTTCATCAAGATGAATGGTGAAAAATGGTGTTACCGTCACTAATACTAGTGGTGGAAATGCCCCTTACCAAAAGATTAATAGACAGAGAATGTATAGTCCATGTAGGAGTTTTCAACTTTAGTTGTGCAACTCTGATAAGTCTCTGAGTGATCCTTTCTTCTTCACAATGGATGATGCCATCACACCATCCTTCTCACAATACCTGTGATAACTCCATCTACCCCAGCTGTATTACTTCCTTTTCCCCAAGAGGAAACAGCAATAGATTCAGTAACATCCCACAATCAAGTGTACCATTTGTAGATATCTGCGGACATGGGGAGCAGCAAGCCTGTTTTGCAGATACAGTTAAAGAGTCATAGAGTCATATAGCATGGAAACAGTTGCTTCGGTCTAACTAATCCACGCGACCATGTTCCCAAACTAAACTAGTCCCACTTGCCTGTGTTTGACCCATATCCCTCTAAACCTTTCCTATTCATGTGCTGGTCCAAATGTCTTCTAAATGTTGTAACTGTATCTGCATCCACCACTTATTCTGGCAGTTCATTCTGTACACAAATGAATTGTAAAAAGGTTGCCCCTCATCTCCTTTTTAAAACTTTCTCCTCTAACCTTAAAAATATGCTCTCTGGTTTTGAAATCTCACAGCATAGGGAACAGAACACTGCTATTTGACATATCTATGCCCCTCGTGATTTTATAAACCTCTATAAGGTCATCCCTCAACCTCCTATGTTCCAGTGGAAAAAAGTTCCAGCCTATCAAGTCTATTTTGTTAACTCAAACCTTCCATTCCTGACAACATCCTTGTAAATCTTTTGTGAAGTCTGTCTAAATTAATTATATTCTTCCAATAGGAGAACAACCAGAACTGCACACAGTACTTCAGAAGAGGCCTCACAAACGTTGTCTAACCTCAACATGTTGTCCCAATTCCTATATTCAGTGGTCTGAGCAATGAAGGCAAATGTGCTAAATGCCTTCTTAACCACCCTGTCTACATGTGACACAAATTTCAAAGAATTACGTACCTGAACCCCTAGGTCTCCCTGTTCTACAACACTACCCGGGGCCTACCATTAATTGTATAATTTCTGCCCTTGTTCGTTGTACCAAAATACAATACCACATATTTATCCAAATTAAACTCCATTAGCCACTCCTCAGCCCACTGACCAGGGAATGGAGGGTTTGAGTTAACAAAATAGACTGGATAGGCTGGGACTTTTTCTCACCGGAGCATAGGAGGTTGAGGGGTGACCTTTTAGAGAATTATAAAATCTTGAGGGGCATAGATAGGGTGAATAGCATGGATCTTTTCCCAGAGGTGGGGGAGTTCAAAGCTCTGGGGGCATATCTTTAAGGTGAGAGGAGAAAGTTTTAACAAGGACATGAGGGGCAACTTTTTTACACAGAGTGGTTTGTACTTGGAATGAACTGCCAGAGGAAGTGGTGGATGCCGGTACAGTTACAACATTTAAAAGACATTTGGATAAGTACATGAAAAGGAAACATCGAGAGGGATATAAGCCAAACGCAGGCAAGTCGGACTAGTTTAGCTTAGGAACATTGTTTGCTGAAGGAAGTGATACTACAAGTAGCAATCGTGCTTGCACTTTTCACTTATGCGCATTTTAACTTACGTACAAATTAAAAGCAGAGTAGGCCACTTGATGTACTGGATAATCTTAATCAATATTTCATTCACTCTTTGCAGTGAATCTATATATGTGTTTCTATCCATTTCAAATATCTGCAGTGAGTAATAGAAGATCCTGTGCCAACCAGAAAGCATCAGGGCCATTACATCAATAAATATTTTAGCTTCAACAAAGCTTTCCTCAGGGATAGTAAGAAGTGCTTCTCCAAAAATTCAGTCACAGTGAAACACTTCTTGCTGAAGTTTTGTTTAAAAAGGTCAAATGTAGTATGTAATTACCTCCCTGGAAACAATGTGAATCAAACTAAAAGCTAAGAATGACCTTCAGTTATAATGGTTTAGAAATGAGCAAGAAATGCTGCCTTGTGCGTGATGCCCACATTCCATGAATGAATACTAAAACAATCTTTATTTTAGGCCACTTGATGTTGGCTCCTTTTTCCTGCAGACCATATCAATATATGGGCTGGCCATATTTTTGGGAAGGAACCAACTATTCTGTCACCATGTCAGCACGGTGTCAAGTCAGTACCCAACCAACAGTCAGTACATATAGCAAAACCAATCGACAAATGAGCCTGCATGAGCAGCTCTCTTCCTGTCTAAGTCAAGACAGTTGAGAGGTCCCGGATCTTGGCTGAATGTCCTGATCGTTCAATTATGGAACAATTCTCTGTGAATCTACACTTTTGAGAATATCTCACTTTCTCAGTAGTGCATCTTAGAACTTCATGGGCATGTTCCCCATGATTTTCCAGGTGCCTGTCATTAAAAAATAGGCAGTATGCTTGATGTGCACTTCTGGCAAGTGAGCCTCCATACCAGGAGTGCACATTCAGAAAACTTGAAACATACAACTTGTATATGAAACTCAATTTTCCACTAATATTTTGAAAAAAAGGCACCAACACAGTATTGTCAGGTAACTAATCATAAGCAACGCTCCAGCATGGCTCAATATATTCCTTCTTCCAGTTGTTTAGGAGGGGAGAGAGGTACCATCAACATAAAAAAACTTCAACTGAGAGGGAGACAGTTTTGTTTTAAAGATGTATCTCCTATCTGGGGAAGATTTTCAATTACAGCTCAATTGAAAACAGCCTTATTATTATTGAAAGCAGGGTTTTTGTGGTGCAGTGAAATTGTTCCTACCTTTGAGGCAGGAGGCCTAGATTCAAATACCACCTGCTCCAGCGGTGTGTAACTACATCTCCAAACAGGTTCATTTGGCAAACATCTAGACCTCTTCAGTTGTTCAAACTAGGACTGCACAACTACAAGTCTGCTTCCATTTGGCTGAATCAAGATATAATAAGGCATTTCTGCTATACTCCCCAATTCTGGATCCCAATTCTAATTGCTGTTTGAAGTACTCGTTATAACAGTGGCTGGCTGAAGACATTTAATGCAAAACAAAACTGAATGTACATTAGTCTGAGGCCAGTAATGAATATGGCACCTTGAATCGATGTGTGTGCCATACACTCTTCCCATAGCCCTGCCAAGAGTTCAGCGTGGCATTTTCACGAGTCATGTTAGACCAGTGGCATCTTCATGGGGTGCTCACTCACTGGAATATTCTTCATGCAGTGTCAATATGTACCTGTTCTGTTTCTCATGCAACCGAACAAGTAATAGTGAGTAGCAATACTAAATTACTGATGTGAGCATCATGAGGAAGCACCAGGTGTGATCTCTATCGATATGAAAATGCTAATTAAGCAAACTTAGTTGCAGTTAATCGATCATAAGTCTCTAATTGTTGAACTACTAAGAGCAAAGAAACTTAACATCTGAATCTGCCAATTTAACACCAACTTCAATCATTCAGCAGAAATGTGCTGTAGGCTTCAGAGTATCTATCTGAGTACATGGAACAAACATAGGAGTAAAAAGAAAGGTTTTCTAGTTAATTGTACAAAACACCTTCCTGAGTTAAACTTTCTTGAGAAACAGAAGGTTTTTAGTGTCTAAGGGTAATAGTAACCTGTTCATGATTTTAATCAGAAGCGAAGCTTGATTATCATCAAGATTTAGTCAGAGCTCCACAGTAAATTGATATCCACATAATGGATACTCTATGCCTGAGTACATTACATGAAGCTTAAAACTAGCATGTTTTTTTTTAAAAAGCTATGGTAATGGCTATATTGTCACAGTGCATTAGATATTGACGTTGAAGATTAAAACTTCTGAAGTCATTTGACAGTTTCTTGTTGTCTACAGGACTGTATCTCTGGGGATTTTTCCCTGTCTCCCTGTGAAACCATTATCTTCCTGCTGCTATTTTAAAGGAAGAGAGCTACTGCTTTGAGTTTTTTTTCCCTCCATACTCAGCTGTGAGACTATGTCTTGAAGATTGTTATGCCTGATTTGTGACTGTCGGTTACTAAAATATGCAAAGAACTGAATACTCAAATCAGATAGCTATTTTTGAGGGGGAGGGGGCAAAATCTTCACCTGACCTAGTTAATCACTGTAACAACATAAACTGTATTTTCACTTGCATTTGCTGAAATAATGGGCTCTACATGACACTAAACAGAAAAGGCACTGTGCGACTTTTTGCCCTAATGCAATTCTCCCTGTCATGTATTTGGGCAAAGTTTAGCCCTCAATCTAATACAAATGGCCATTCCTCATGAGGAAAGTTGTACCAACTGAGACAATAAGGTGTAGAGCTGGATGAACACAGCAGGCCAAGCAGCATCAGAGGAGCAGGAAAGCTGATGTTTCAGGTTTAGACCCTTCTTCTGAGTGCAGATTATTTAACAGACAAAGCATCACTGCTGAACTCAGTACTTGTTGGGTTGTAAATACACACAATTTTAATTCTGGGTAAC